TGGACCCCTCCTCCTCTGGTTCCTTTTCTTGTGCATCATTTTTTGAGACTTTGGTCCAACCTCCTACTCCCTTTGGGTTGTCCTTTCCTATTAAAGAGATTTGGAGCAAACCCATTCCTCCTCGGGTTGGTAGTTTTTGTTGGGAAACTTTACTGGAAAAATAAACACAAATGACTTGCTTCAAAGAAAGAGACCCAATTCCTGTTTACTTCCCAATAGGTATGTTCTTTGGAAAGCTGATGGGGAAACAGGTTAGCACCTTAAGGTTGCTTGTCCGATTACTAAAACTATTTGGGAGTGGGTGTTTTCCCTTTTTGGATGTACTTGGAATCCCCCCATAAGTGTGCAAAGCTTGTTCTCTCCTTTGTCCTCAAGATGGCCTAAGAAAAGAGGGAAGGTCATGTGGAGAAGCATTAGGGCGGCAATGTGTTGGTCCATATGGGAAGAGAGAAACTCACAACTTTTTTCAGACAAGCAAATAACCATGGAGAACTCAGAATTGATACACTTAAGGGTAACTTACTGGCTGAAATCTGTGGAACTATTCTCAGATTTTTCCATGGCTAACATATTGAGAAAGTGGAAAGAAATAGCTACCTTGGCCCAATGTAAGAGGACCTCTAGACCTTCTTGGTCCCCCCCCCCTCCTTCAGGATTCATAAAACTGAATTTTGATGGTAGTAGCTTAAGGAATCCTGGGTCTTTTGGGATTGGGAGAGTGTTCAGGAATGAGGTTGGGATTATTATTGCTATTTTCTCAAGCCCAATTGGAGAGGGTGACTCACTTAGGGCTGAGATTCTAGCAATTCTGGAAAAAATCCAAAGAGCAAGAGAATTAAATATTCGATGTTTGGTCATTGAAGGGGACTTAGAGGTGGTGATTAGGTGGCTGAAGGAAGACAACAATGGTTTGTAGGGCTACAGAAATGAAAAGAAAAAATTTAAATGACTGAGTAGGGATATTGAGGTGAAATACAGTTGGATAAAGAGAAGCGCTAATTCAATGGCTGATGGGTTAGCCAAGCAAGGGGCACTTAAGGAATCTATGTTTTGGGCTAATTTTTAGCTTTCTTCTTTGTTCCTTATTGTGGGGGAGTTAAGATAGTTTACCTCCCCTTTTTTGTACTTAAGGTTTCACAAATTTTATTATGATTAATAAAGCATCTTGTTACTGATCAAAAAAAAAGAATGAGTCATAGATGCTTTTCAATGCACTCCTTAGCATTGTTAAACTTATTATCTTGATTTTCTTATCAATCTAAGCTTCCACCATCCTGAAGAAGTTTTGAACAATGGAGGGAACTTCATCCCTACTCTTCATTAGATAAAGCAAGTGTATCGAGAGTAATCATCAATGAACATGAAAAAGTATTTATAGCCGCACATACAAGAAATAGAATATGGGCCCCAAACATCAATATGTATCAAATTGAAAGCAACATCATTTTCTCTATCACTTGCAAAATATGTAGTTCTACATTGCTTTGAAAGATTACAAACTTGCAATGAACAAACACATTACAAACTTACAAACTTCACATTACATTGTATCGAGAGTAATCATCAATGAACATGAAAAAGTATTTATAGACGCACATACAAGAAATAGAATATGGGCCCCAAACATCAATATGTATCAAATTGAAAGCAACACCATTTTCTCTCTCACTTGCAAAATACGTAGTTCTACATTGCTTTGAAAGATTACAAACTTCACATTACAAACTCAAGTTGGACACAGACTAACACAAGTTTGGATTAAAAACTTTATAGACTCAAAAGGACACATGACCAAGATGGCAATGCCACAACTTCAAAAGACTCAAATTTTCACTTCGACATGATTCGATCTAACACAATAATCCTTGCTCAGGGGCATGATAAAAAGGTAAACTCTATCAGCTTCTCTAGTTCTAGTCGTCCTCCCTATGCTCATGTCCTAAAAAATACAATGTGAAGAAAAAAAATATCACTAAACAATTATGGGATTTGTTAAGACAACTAATAGATAAAATATTTTTGTGCAACCGAAGAACATGAAGGACAGAGCTCATGAAAAGATTACAAGTGAGTGAACTTGACTTCACCTAGACTCGAGATTGGAGTATGAGATCCATCAACTACAATGATCTTACCTTTCTTTGGAGCTAGTTTATAACAGGTGAAGTGAGAAGACATACTAGTCACGTTACCAATAGCTCTAGAGTCCACAATCTAGGAACTAGGAAAAGAAGATTGACAAGCAAGTACAATACCTAATTTAGCAACATTATAAGGATTACTAGAGCAAGCTGAGGTGGAGGACCCGGATTTTTCAAGTTGAGTCAGTAGGCTCCTAAGCTTCTTCATCACATCAAAGGAATCATGCGAAGGATTCTAAACCAAGGTTTAAAGTACAGATACATTACTCCCGATACAAGGCATATCATATCCATATCCATGTTCATGGATACGGGATAAACCACAAACAGAAGAATATCAGTGACTAGTTTGATGAAATTGTATATTGATTGCTTTTGAATTGTTTTTCAACATTAATAAAAATTAAAAATTATTATTATAAAAATTGAAATAAATAATTTAAGATTTAACTTTCCCCCAAATTTTAATAAAAACTAAAAGTTATAAAAATAATATATATTATCTACATTAAATGATTTATATGTTTTATTTTACACATACTTATATGTTAAAAATTCAAACAAACTTATTATTTGAAAAACAGTTATATAAAAATACTAAATAAATAAATTTTCTCAACAAAATTAATAGAAAATAAAAGATTATGATTACAAAAATTGAAATGAATAATTTAAGATTTAATTTCCCCCAAAAAATTTAATAAAAACTGCAAATTATAAAATAGTTTATTTTATCTACCTTAATTGACCTGGTTCGTTCAAGCTTTAAAGTACAAATACGGTACTCTCAATATGAGGCGTATCATATCCATATCCATGGTTATGCATTTAAGATACACTATGACTAGGTTCGTATCGCATAAGCCATGTGTATCAACACAATATGCCTATATATCGGGTCATATCACATTTTAATACACACTAATATGGAAGCGTATCAGTACCTAGCTTGATGAAACCGTGTATTGATTGTTTTTGGATTTTTCCAACTTTAACATTAATCTTGTAGCTTGGACTAACAATGGTGTGAGCTAGTTTCACTTCCATATGTGTCTACGTAGATCAAGAAAACTATGATTAAAAAAATACACATTTCTACTAAGCATTCATAAACCTATCAAACCTGGAAAAAGGAAGCTACCTGAATCCATAATTCATATAAAGGAGGCTACTAAGCACTCATATCCTTGAAGCTTGTAAGGTACCCTAGCTTCTACACCCTCAAATATACATATACATTATAGACAGACTATGCCCACTATAGATGATTATTCCAACTGAATTTGACATTGGCTAGTTGGATGCTAAAACTATACCTAAAACCACTAAAGCCAAAGTTGGGATTCATATTTTGCTTAAATCACTCCTAAAGGATTCATAACAAATCCATCCTTCTAAAAAGCTCAAAATATAATAGCATCAATCCAAATGCCGATTTACAAATCTAAAAAGTACCTCTATTCATTGGGTGTACAGAAGCTCCTCTACTAAAAATAGTTACTAGAAGAAACTGGAAAACAAGTTGATGCTTAATGAAAACCCCCTAGAAACCAATTCCAACCAAATCACCCACTCTACATTAATGAAAGAATGCTAGAAATACCTGAGCATTGCAGCAGATTGCACCATATAATGTTGAAGTAAAAGATTCTCTTGTTTTTCTTGATTTTAAGGAAAACCTACAAACCATTCTTGAGCTTCAACTAACCTTCATTTAGTTCTCCAAGAGCCATATAAAACCAGACAACATATAATGATTTGATCAGCCTCTTCAACACTCAATTTAGGCCATGAATCCTAGATCTGCATGAGTTATACCTGGAAGAACTCTACATGAAGATCACTGCTCTAATACCATCTTATTTATGGAGAAAAGAGAGTATAAGATAAGAAAGAAGAAATTGTTTGTTTATATATATATATATATATGTGTGTGTGTGTGTGTGTGTGTGTGTGTGTGTGTGTGTGTGTGTGTGTATGTATATGGAATAGAGGCCCCTTGTCGCCTTGGCGATGAATTTTTTGAAGTTCAAAACATGTATCCTAGGGTAGTTCCCTAGATTCCATAACCATATTTCCTTAATTATCCATAATTTTCATAAGAAAAGTATAAAGTTCATGTTGAAGCATAGAAAATCAACAAATTTCATAAGAAGAAAAAGAAAAGAAAATTCAAAAAATATAGGGGCTGAACCCCTATTTTTTTTATAAGAAAATAAGAAAAGAATAGGTGGAAGAAGTAAAAGAAGAGAATGTGTGTTGATTAGACAAAGTTTTAAGTTCTTCCTTGCTTATTGGTTCGGCTTTTTAAGTCTTTGAGGGTTCAATATAACAGTTAGCTATGTTTGTGTTGATTCAACACTAACAAATAAGAAAATAATAAAAAGAAATTAATATATAAACACACAAAATGAATATTTTAGTTTAATAATTACTATTTTATAATTATAATCTCAAAAAAAATAAGAATATAAAAGTATTTTGTAACACAACATACAAAACTGCTTGCTGATTAGGCAAGGTGAGCCTCCAAGGGCACCTTGTTGCCTAGGCATCACCTTGACAACTATGACTACCACTAAGCTGAAAATTGCTTGTATTTCAATAGAGGGAAAGAGTTTTAAATTTAGTAGACTTGCACTCCCCGCTATGGCCCTAATAGGAATTCACAACTCTCCACTCAGAAAATGCCCCAAATATCAAAGGAACTAGTCAAGTGAAAATAATCAAAATCTAACTATGAGCATCAAAGGTAAATAGAGAAGCGGAGTATCATATTCATTATCATGAAATAAACCTAATATAGAAGTGGAATGAATCACAAATGACAAGAACCAGGCCAGACAAAGAATAAAAAACCTTCTGAAAAAGCAATGGTAGCTCCCGGCAGAGAATAAAAGCTTGCATCAACCAAGAAACGATCCTTGAAATCTGAATTTGGGACATATCACAACAGGTGACCCTTGCAAAGTTTAAAAAAAAAACGACATTCAGTTCAGCCACTTCTGTCAGTATCAACCCCTAAATATATTATTTTAAAGAAATATTTAAGTTCAAATAAAGATAAATAATAGTATTGAAAATGTAACATCTGCCTGAGACCTACGTCAAAGGCCTGCCTTCAACATATCATTACCTTTTAAAAAGGTAACAAAAAGTCACCATTACTCACATGCACATAAAAACAAACAATAGAAAAAAAAAAAAAGTTGCAGAATACCTGGTATCCTTTAATTGATAGTTCTTCAAAGAAAACCAACAGATGTTGTACAAAATTGTAGCACGTTCAATGGCGAATATGTCACCTGGTCTTCCAATATCAATGAATTCAAGCAAAATGGTATGTGGAATACCAGCATAACTATGAGAATATTTCTTTGCATTGGACAGTGCCGAGATGCATTGCCAAAATATTTCATGTACCTTATGAATTTCACCATGTATTCCTATGCATTTTCCTAAAAAAACAGCAAATCCAACAAAGTAAAATGTGTATCAATCTTGACAACAATATCCAGTGCAATTCTAGAATGTTTTTTAGTAAGCAAAATCCTAGCTTATCTAACTAGAAAAGAAAAGCATCTCCATATTTTGCAAAGAATATCCTTAGATGGTAAATCCACTGGAGCCCCAAAAAGCCAACATGTAGCGGTCATTTACTTGTTTTAGATTCTCAAGTAGAACAAAGTCAGAATCTGTTTCTCCATACCAATTCCAATGAGTAACCTTATTGAAAGCCGCCTGTTGTGAAGCTCCCATTTTGTAGAAATGAAATCCTTCATTGACCCATCTTCCATAACTTTCATGAGAAAACATGTCCAACAATTTGCTTTGTCACAAAAGCATGATTCTTCACATCCATAATGAGCAACTGACATTGTTTCCTGTTGCATGACCAATCCTCCCTGCATAACAGTATTGGAACAACCAAATACATGATTGCCACTTGAATATTGAGTAAGTTCAGGTTAGAACTGCACTTACATTACCAGAAGACTGCTTTCTGGAGCGAGTTATCCTTGGATTATGATCAGCTTTAGTTTGCTCCTTTGATGTATGTTTTGATGCATTCTTAGGCTTTCTAGGCTTCCTGACTTCCACTTCTCTTGATCCCCCGGCTTCAACAGTGCTTATATTCACAGGAATACTAAGAGAGTTTTCCCACTCAGAAGGATTAATTTTTTCTAGGGATGATTTGTACAGGTCTATTGCAAAAGTTAAGCTCTTCAATGAACTCTGTTCGGTGCAGCTAAATCGGCTTCTAGTTAAATCTGCAATTTGTTGATCAATTGAAACTTCCAAGGCCAACTTGCACTGTTTGCATGAAATAGTTGTACTTACATCCACCAATGTTTGCTTACAAATGTTCAATTCATTTTCTGCTAGATCCCAATGTTTCTTATTATGGTATATTTTCCCTGAGGAACATAAAAAGTAAATTATGAGCTATCAACTCACAAGATCTTTTTTCTGGAGGTGAAATCAAGAATTATTTTCATTGGTCATGCTACTGGTGGTGGTGGTGGTGGTGGTGGTGGTGGTGGTGGCTGGGGTAAGGGGGTTGCATGTATCATAGAGAGAGGTTAATTGGCATACCCAATGTAGATGAAAAGGCAATATTAAAAAGTTGTAAGCCTTGAATACATGAGATACTCTTCCCTCCAAGTAAAAGAGCTTCAGCCTCAGCTCCATTACCAATTGCTTCATAGATAACTCCAACCTATGCATAATACAAGCAGTTAGATGAAAGAAGACTGAATTCTAGTTCACTCTGTAAATCAAGCAGTTAAAGATGATGAAATAAACCTGCAAAGTGCTCTCTAGATAACATTGAAGCACATTCCATGGACTAAGAATACAGTCTTCCATATCCCATGACTCGGAGTTAGTTACGCCTGGCCAAACTTCAGTAGCAACAGATCCCAATATGGCCAGATTAAAATGACCATACTTATGGCATTCAGTGGCTTCCCCACTTTCACTACAGTTTCTGGTTTGTTCAATGGAATAAATAAATTTCTCTTTTAAGAGTTTACTACGTAAGGAGCGAGCCTCTCTTGCATATGAAAGAGCCTAAGCAGCAGCAAAAACTCATTAGAAAAGGACAGATGCCAATAGGGAGAAAATGCAAATAGTATGTAGAAATGAGACATTTTCATTTCTGTTTATTAAGACAGCAAGGAAAAAGAAATAAATTGTGTTTATCAATTATAGTACCCAAAAAAGCCAGAAAATTTATATCTTACATTTAAATAAACATTCTAAAATCATTTTTCCAAGGAATTCTTTAACCAATAGTTTTTACTTGTCTGTAGTGTTCCAAAGTCAGTCATTTATGATTCCTAAACACCTGTGCATGCCTAAGGTTCTGATGTCAGACACAATATACCCAATGATACACCAGATACTGTATGGACACTTGTAGCATAAACACTTGTATAAGTATTCTGAAATGAAACTTAGAATCAAAAACTAGAAATGGAAGTATGATACAGTCATGGCAAATGGGATACTTCCACCAGTATCCATGACCTTACAAATTAGAGCAATTTTGTCAGACTACTGCCTGTCAACTCAGTAAACTCTTCAAAATAAAGTTGGTTGTTTAATAATAATCGTGGTGGAAAGACATTTTATTAGTTATTAGAGATTATTAGTTTAAGTGATTACCATAAAAAAAATCTATTTGGAGCATTCTTATGCATGCAATCTTGTTTTTTTTAATTTTTGTGTCATGTTGAACTTCTAAAAAAGTTAGTTTTGCTTTCCAGTAGGCATCCCCCACTCAGAATTAAAAGAAACACTTTACTTTTCTTTTCAAAACACTAATATTGATTTCAAGATGAAAAATACAAACGAAAGGCCAAAAGCATCAAGAGAAAAGAAAATTCTTAGTTTAGGTTTTGGCTTATCCAAAGACAACAAAAATTGCAAATTATTAGAATGAATGACCAAAATAATATAAATAATAGCAGCTACAACCAACAAATAGAAATAGAGAAGTAGGCAATGGTAGTTTGACTAATGGTACCAGACTACTATGAAGTACATGATATTTCACACATCTTTTTCACTCTTATGGCTGAGAATGAAAGAAGTATATAAGGAAAATGATTTGTCTATTAAACCTCTCTTATTATTTTATAGTGCCAATTACCAGGAAAAATGGATGATATGGCATTCTATAAAAATTGGTAAATTTTGTTTAAGGGTTTCATTTTGATCAAATAAAACCATATTATATGGATGAGTAAATAAATAAGGTATATATTACAAATATCATATGGATATACTAAAAATACATTCTAATATCTAATCATATGCAAAAGAAATCTTAAAGACTTATTAGTCAGTAGATGTTAGAGAATACAAGTTATAAACCCTGGAACCAAGATGTTTCCTTAAGATTTTGTTAGATTATATGTTATTTATAAAAATATTTATAAAATAAAGGACCCTACTGTACATTATACTTTAAAATAAAGTACAATTAAAATCCATCACTAAACTAATGATAGTTGTAACTTATAAGAGCAGGATTCCAGAGTCCAACAGACAAGGGTTTTACCACTTTAAAGGTGGACATTTAATTCTTTATGGTATGACACCAGCAGCTCAGAGCTTAAAGTCTCAAACACAATTACTTGGGTTAGTACAGAATCGATATATAAAAGTAATGTAAGTTACCTCTAGTAGCCGGCCACTTGAAATTAATCTTTCAGCCAAATCATAACAAAGATAACCAGCAAGAAAAGCTGAATGTTTGGGTACTGGAACCTATCATAAGGTAGAACACCAAAGTTAATCAAACATATAGGACTGTGGCCTAATACCCATAAGCTAATGATCTAGCTGAGCTACTTTGGTGGAGCTTACTCTTGACATAAGATCTGAAACGACCTCTTTTACTTCATCAAGGGTGAGCTCAATACCTAAATAACTTTTAGGATGATGACTTCTTAGTGGAAAAATGGAAGAAGAAAGTGAAAATTTCTGCTGAAATCCAATTAGAAGAGGTTTAGATTCCTTTAAACAACTTATCCAGAAATCTATGGAGTTACAATGAACACCATATTGCTCTGTGAAGTCAACAATGAAAGCTTCATCAACTGGTGATATGCAAAGGGCATGGGCAAGCCTCCTATTAGCCCATAGCATGGAAAAGCTCTTCTCTAGTGACACATTTTTTCGTTTCAATAGTATGATGATCAGCTTATAGATGTCACACTGAAACTGCATGGAGCCCTACAGTTATACAACAAAGAAATTGATCACAATCAGAAAACAAAGTCATTATAGAGAAAGATTCCCAGCATAATACACATGCATGGAATCTACTATACCTAGTAATGATAATAAAACTCACCTTCAACAACAATAGATCAGCAATTCGATACAACAAAGTTATCAAATTCTCGGTTACAAACTCACAATGATTAGACCAACAGTCCTGAGTGATTATACCCAACCATAACTTTACTGCATGATGAATATCATGCAAGATTAGCTGCTTGGAAAAGAATCCCACAAAGTATAGAAAACAAAAGGAATGGTGTCAATATCAAATCTGATAAAGAAAAACACAAGCTCATTTCTCTACGGGCCATAGCACATTATCACCTTTGAGTTGGGTTCAGTCTCCTGGGTACACAATGCACGCAAGCTATATGCAATAGCTAATTGATGATGTACTGAACAACTACTGCTGGAAGGCTCACGAGATATGTCATTCTGTTTCAATAAATTCCACATGTCAAAGACAAACCAACTTCAAAAACACACAAGGATCTTGTAATGTCAGTAGGGCTGCAAATTTGAATCGCATTTGGATAGGGGTATATCTGATGAGATCTGATAAGAATCCAAGAGGCCCAAATTTGATTCGATATCCAACAGATATATAAAATACAGATTTGTATACATTTCATTTACATATTGATTAAAATATTAATAAGTTCATACAAAATTACCATAAACTTACAAAATTAAATGCAGAACAATCTATATCTCAAGGAACGGTTCAACCTAAACAGTTAAGCTATTAGGTGAGGTCCATGAATAGGCTTTTATTTGCTAACAATATATTACAAACAAAAAGATAAGTTTATCTAAACCTCAATATTCACTTAATTCTAAAGAATTTTAATGCTAAAAAATAATATTTTGCAGATGTAAAATATAATTGGATCAGATCAGAATCAGATCAAGTAATATCTGAACTTGATATGATTAATAAACAGATCACATTTTCAGATCCAATTTGATATCAACTATGGCTAACCGAATCCAACTGAAAAGAATCAGTTTCAAATTGGAAAAAATCGAATTCATTTGCAGCCCTAATTGTCAGTTCTCAATTTAAATAACCTACATAACAAAGTATAGAAAAATAAGAAAGAAATAGCTTACAAGAATACATATAGCCTCTGACAAACATTGAATGCAGCTGTCCAGGTATTCAATTCCCTGAGCCCTAAAAGCCCCTCCTTTTCTAATAAAAATCCTAGACTTCTGTAACCAATTCTCCTTTGTAACGTATACATCTAACAGGAGAGTATTCATTATTTCCAGTTGCATTCTCTGGCATAAATTTGGAAGTTGTGCCATCATTTCTTCATATGCTAAAAGCTCCTACACCCAATTCAATTATAAAAGAAAATCGCTTGAGAACTTATGTCTGACAAGAAGTGAGCATCGACTGGTAACTTGTAGAATGAAAATAAAAACCTGTTCTAAAATGACACCAACTGTCCTTTTTGACCATGTCGGAGAAGACTTTGAAAGCAAAGAGTAAAGGGTTGGGACATGATCCTCCATATCAACACCCTTATAGTCTTTGCATATTATCTGGAATCAAGAAAAAAAAAAAAGTTCAGATAGAACAGTACAAAATATGCAATAAGTGAAAATTAGCAGGAAGCATCACTAATCATACCTTAACCCATTGCTTCACCAAAGACATGGGACCATTCAACCCTTTAAGCAAATTCCCAGCAATAGACCAATTCAGAAGACTATCAACAATGCTCTCATCCACATCAGGACTGCCACATTGATAAAGAACATCTAGAAGAAAAGCACTTTTTGCACATGTCTCATTCACAAAATCTTTAACTGCATCTTCTGATAAGTCATGAGAACCCTCTTGTTTCCCCATAAATTTATGGCAAAGGCATGAGACACAAGTCCAAGAAGCTCTACAGCATAACCTCAAAGCCACTAAAGCCTGTGAGGAATGAATAATACATGAATAAACAGTAAATATGTTAAATACAAGAAGATTTAATAACAGAACATCACTTTGAGAGCTTTTAATATATATTTAGCAATAAACACATAAGATAGAGCGCAGGATGAAACTTAAACCCATTTGCATGAGCAGAAAAGTATTGATAATATGTCTCACCAGTTCAGGGGGTTCAGGAAAATTCTCCTCCCTCAAAGTATTTTCCAGATAAATAACTCTACTAACTAGGATTCATATGATCCAAGGCTGAACTGGTAACAAACTTATAGGAAACTAAAAGAAAATAATGTTTTTATTAATTCATCACATTTTATTAATTAATAATAAAGAAAAGTGGAAAAAAGTTCCAATAATGCAAAGTTGAAGGCTTAGGTTTGAAGGCTAGGCACAAGTCTAGGGAAGGTGAATGAAGGTAGGTCCAGGGCTATAGAGCTGTATGATAGCAATTAAGGATGAAACTCCTGCAATATGTACAAATTTTTAGAAAGAGACAAAAAAATTCAGTATCTTAAGATTGAAATGGTATTTCTTTAAACTCTTTTAAAGGAGCCTTTGAGGTGGCAAACTGAAGTTGAAAATTGGATTTGGAGATTCGTAGATTGTTTCAAAGTTATAAACTTTTGAAAACTATGGTTCTAGAGGGAATTTTAGAAACTGTTTAAATGGGATGAACAGATACATAAAATATGGGGGTAGCTGAACAAAACCTAGCTCAACCAAAGTTTTCTAGGGATGATTCAGAGTGAGAAGTTTCTCTCTAAAGAGAGTGTAAAATTGAGCATTGAAGAAAATTGAAAGAAAAACTACCCGAGATCTCTTTTTTTTCTTGGCCTACCCAAGATAAATTGAATCATCCCTTATTTTGTGTTCAATGATGGTTTCTGATTGTTTTGTCCATCTTTGATAGCTGTTGGCTACTTAGGAAACTTAGAAAGAAGACAAGAAAAGAAAGAAAAAGCATAAGAAAAAAATTAGGAATCACTCATAAGGTTCCTAGAATCACTCTAGAACTTTGTCAATCAATACCTACAGTGACACAAGAAGAAAATAATCTCCCAAATTCATTAGGCACACTCTTTGCAGCTTCACTCAAACATACAAACTGTCTAGGATCAGTCAAACTCTTTCCTAGACTATGAAAACCCAAAGGTACGATTTACCACTCACAACAACTTAAAAAATAAAAAATAAATAAAAAGAACTCTTACACTACTTAACCAATAACTGAAATTTTAAAAACAACTAACCCAAAAATAGACAAATCAAATTAACAGGCTAGACCCCACATGTAACACTTAGCATAACCAAAGTACTCCTATGATCAGAATCAGCCCAATAGCCAAGCAAAATCATGAATCTTTCTGTTGGAAACACTTCAACAAGTCAACAGCGTGCATCACCAAGGATCTTCAACCAAAACAAATAAGCTCAAAATTAATGAATCATTCCCCCATCCATCACAAATCAACGTGGGTGAGTTGCAATCACTTGAATTCATGTTGCTATGCCATTGTCCCATCACACTACTAGCAATGTGTGATGACCAGTCACATGGTCTTACACTTCTAAATGTCAGATCTGATTTTCCTCCTGCATTCAATTGGATATTTGAACTCTTCCTAGAAGCACATAAAACAAGACTGTCCTAATAATCACTCCAATGGAATCCATATCAAGCTTTGACAATTATACAATCAAAAATAGAATCAAACTCTACAAATCAGTATTCAGAAGATAACTACAGTCTCAAACACAAGGTACAAAAGATCACCCCTACAAGGACTTTTAGAAACTAGAGAAATAAGAGGCACTCACTCCAAAGGCCTTAGAAACCTCAAGAATCCAAACCAGTCACTCCAGAAAAATCCAAGTATACTAGAACCTTTGTACTACAGTACATTTCACCCAATATGCTGAACAGAAAAGCTCTCTAATTCTTCTCACTTTTTTTGGCAAAGTTTCAATACTCCTTTCTTGAGACCAACCAACCTTCAATTATTTCTAAAAAAATCTGAACCCAAGCAATTAAAGAATGAATAGTATCTCGACCAACTATCAGCCAAAAACCAATAAGTCGCCCCAAAAACACTATAGGGATACTCAAATACAGTGTTTTAAAAGGTGTGAAAAGCGTATGGCTGGAGGCATGCCTCTAGGAAAGACAACCCCAAAACGCCCCGAGGCATATGCCAAAGGTGTTGACACCTCTATGGCATACACCTCATACACATTTTTCATGAGACGTGCTAGAGGCATATGCCTCATGCACCTCACACACACTTCATATAAAAAGACACAAAAAACAAAAAAAAAAAGAAAGGAAAGGAAAGAAAGGGAAGGGAAAGAAAAAGAAAGAAAAGAAAAGGGAAGGGAAGGAAAGATAAGGGGAAAGAAAGTGGGCCAGGGGCTTTGCCCCCCAGACCTCCCAGTCCCTTTTCAATGCAGCCCAATTTGGTTTTTTTGTTCTAGGGGAGTCTTGCTCCGCTTCAACAAGACCCCCCCCCCTTTCAGCTAGTGTTATGCATCTTCATTCTTCTTAATATAAAAATTTTTTTATTAAAAATAAAGAAAAAGGAGATCCTCCTTCCTCTTCTTCCCCATCCCCCTCCTCTTGAAGAGGCTTACGCCGCTTACATTCTAAACTACGCCTCACGCCTCCGGGTAGTGGAATGCTTCGCATTACGCCTCTGCATTTTAAAACAACTAGATGAGCTGTATCTTCTTGTCCAAGTTATGAGATTATTGCCAACTAGTCATACCTCTCACAATTCTCTTGCTAAATTGATGATGCGGCCAGATCTCTCTTTCAAGTGTTGGAATACTTTCTTTCCAAATTTGTAGAAGATTCTATATTTTGAGAATATGGAAAGAACTATTGAGATTTGAACAAGATATATTTTGCAATATGGCAAACTTGGCCCCTGAAACATTGCACCACCCAAGTTGTCCATATGGCAAGGTGCAAGACACTGTATTGCAATGCAAAATACATGCAAAATACATGCAAAACACCTCATTTGTAACTGTATCGCAGCTTCATCGGAGGACCTTATGGGCTTGAGTTTGCTGGGCATCCACCTCCAAGTCAGCTATGGTTTCACAGGTTTCTTGGGCTGTTCCTGTATCATCAAACCTTGCCAAAAAGTTTGACAAATTGAACCCACATACAAAATGAATATGGGCAATGGAGCAGCAAGTGTCTGATTGATTCCCACTAATTCTCACATAGAGAGCATTAGTGCACCATCACCATTCCCCTGACCATTAAATTATCAACGGTTTGGATACTATTCAGGATTGCAGCCCAAGTAAAAAACATCACCTTGGATGGAAGTCCTAACTTTCAAATACACTTTCATGGCACATCTTTTAGAGAATAATCATGATCAAAATTGAAGCAAGTCTCTAATTTTCTTGGAATTTTTGGACAATATCTCTAGGATACTTTACTATGCACAAAAAATCCTGAAAAAGAATCTTCAAAAATCCTCTAAAACTCAAACAATCTAAGAATGGAAATAATTAACAATTTTGGGAAAAAATGAAATTATTTATAGTCATCTACAATATTACTATTTATAGTAAGACCAAAATTAAGTATTTATAGTAAAAAGGTCATATCTGCTAGTGCTAATAGGAATTCAAGAGGAAGAAAAAGTTTAGAATAGGGAGATAAAACTAACAAGACTCACAAGAGGAGATCGGACACACCAGAAAAACTAAACTGAACAAAAACTGACCAAGAACAATAGCAAAATGAAAAAAAAAAACAAAAATATACCAAAAGAACCTAAAAATTAAAAACTAAAAGATAGCTGAGATTGTCAACATTTATGCTACAATGGTACCATTAGTTGAACTAGTTCATGTCGTGTTTTTCATTATTTCCTCTAATAACTTTCCTTATCATTAACAACAATTAAACGGGATTTATTGATTACTGATGAAAAGGCAATAATACTTACAGCTCAAGAGAGCAAAATTGGAAGAAACAAATACAACATCTCAAGCTAACATGCCAAAGTGAAAAGTAAAAATACAAGTCTTTGCATGTGTAACCCTGGTCCTAGTGCTCTCCATTCCAAATCAGAGCTTACCATTCCTTTCCATGCTAGAGAATTAACAGACTATTGTGTTACGTACCTAAAGGTTAAACAGCTTGGTTTAACATGTTCCAACAGTCTTAAGGCTTTTGGCATGTTGGTCAAATATGTAACAATTGGCATAAAAACCTATGACCGTGCCTCAAGTTTGAATCACAAAAAGGGCTACCTAGAGCAGAGTAAGATCTGGCATGGAAAATCCAAGAAGGCTACCTGGAGTAGAGTAAATGCCACTAGAGAGAAAGGGCTACCTACCACCAAAGCAACAGCTGTCCAGAGTGAGAACCATCAAGACATTGGATGCAGAAATGTAGTGACTGGAATAAGATTCAACAAAGGAAAAAAAACCATCAACCTTAGTAGCAGGAGAAACAAGGCAGTGTTTTAAAAGCGCAAGATGCAAAAAAAGCGGAAGGGCCTATTTGTGCCTGAGACACAAGGGGCAAGGCGAGGCACACACCTTTTTGAAGCAAGCCACAAAAAATACAAAAAAAAAAAGTAAAAATCAAAAAGAATGCAAAAAAGTTCAAAACAAATGCCAAAAAAATTAAAAAATGCAAAAAAATTAAGAAATATTAAACATAATGTTAATAAAAAATATAAACTTAAATTTTAAAATAAATGTTTTAAAAACCTGTTATCTAAAATTAAAATGCATAAACATAACATGTAAAGCATATTCAAATGAAAATTTAAAAATAAAAGCAAACATATAAAGCATTTTCAAAAATGTAAAACCCACAATCTCTTTTTTCTTCAATTGCATTACTTCAAGTAGCTAATGTGATGTAAAACATATTGTATTCTTGATTCTATGAGTCACCTTTGTACCATGCCCCTCGAGAACCCCCTATTTGCTAATGTTGTTCATTCATTCATCCCAATAAAATATCTTCTTAAAAGGCAATTAAAGTTATAAAATCATTATTTTTATGTGAGAAATAAGAATTTAAGACCCTAACATGAACTTGTTTGGGCATGCCTCAAGGGGCGTGGTCGGGGGTCCAAGGGCAGAGCCCCTAGCCCAGCCATTAGGCTCAAAAAAAAGAACAGTAAAAGGCACATAATTTTAAAAAGGCACACGCCTGGGTTGAGGCGCAAGGCGCATGCCTAGGCACACTAGGCATGCGCCTTTTGAAAGGGATGCATCTAGGACCTAGGCGAGGCACATACCCTAAAATGCGCCTCACTTATGTGCCTACGCGTACCTTTTAAATCACTGAAACAAGGGCTTTATGGCCACATCACTTACAGGAATCAGGGCACTTGCATAGACAAGTTGATGCAGGAGTTAGAGGGTCAAATTTGGATTTTTATGGAATTTTATGTATTTTTATATTTTTGGACAGTAGGGGTATTTTTGTCATTTTGCAATTATTTTGTGGGGTCCATTGAAAGGGTTTAATTTGTGTAGTATAGTTTGTTTATGTATAAAATTTCAGAGTCATTACATAAGTAGGATTAGTGATTTAAAAGGCGCACCTGAGGCATGCCTAGGTGCACAGGCGAGGCGCATTTTAGGGTAGGCACCTCGCCCAAGTCCTAGGCGCAGGCATGCGCCTTTTGAAAATTTGACACTTTTTTGCATTTTTTGAGTCTAGCGGCTGGACCAGGGGCTCCGCCCCAGACCCCCGTGCCACCCCCTATTTGGTAATGTTGTTCATTCATTCAACCTAATAAAACATCATCTTAAAAAGCAATTAAAACTATAAAATCATTATTTTTTGAGTGAGAACTAAGAATTTAAGACCCAAACATAGACTTGTTTGGGCTTACCTCAAGGGGCATGGCACAAACGCGGCTCGTAGAATCAGGAATGTAATACGTTTTACATCACATTAGCTACTTGAAGTAATGCAATTGAGAAAAAAAGAGAGATTGTGGGTTTTAAATGCTTGAAAATGTTTTAGATGTTTGATTTTATTTTTAAATTCTCATTTGAATAYGCTTTACATGTTATGTTTATGTATTTTAATTTTAGACAATAGGTTTTTTAAAACATTTATTTGAAAATTTAAGTTTATGTTTTTATTAATATTATGTTTAATATTTTTTTATTTTTTTTGCTTTTTTTTAATTTTTTGGCTTTTTTTATTTTCTGACTTTTTATTTTTTAGCATTTTGTATAATTTTTGCGCCTTGCTTAAAAAGGCATGCACCTTGCGCCTCAGGCGCAAATTGACCCCTGCACCTTTTTTGCGCCTTGCGCTTTTAAAACACTAAGTAGGATATGACAGCTTAGTTTGAGTTCTACTAGGATTATTGAGTCTAACAATTTGACTCCTAGGACCATTATAAGTTTAATGGTTTGACTCCTAGGATTATTATGACTTTAGAGTCTATAAATATGTATGGACTATGGACGTTTTACACAGGGGCGGAGCTAGGATTTTTTATTGAGGGGGCCAAAACCTAGAAAACATGGATAGGGGGGGCAAAAGCTAGGAAACATGAGTAAAGGGGCTAAAATACAAGTGGAACTTAAATAGATTTAAAGGGAATTTTGAAGGAATAGGGGGGCCATGGCTCCCCTCCGCCACCCCTGGCTCTGCCCCTGGTTTTACACAGAGAAATGAAGTTTATTGAGTTTTCTTCAGCTTATGCTAACTATGGTGAGTGATTCCTATGCCCTAGAGTATTCTAGGCACCCTGTGAGTGATTCCATGTATTTTCTCTCTTCTTTGTGTCCCTATTTTCTCTCTTATTCCTTCAAGAAGACATTACAACCATCAACAACCATAAAATTCTAATCAAAGGACTAGACCAGTCAACATTCTCTAAGGACTAGAACTGAGTTGGTCCTACATCACAGGTTGAGTAGAATTTTATGAAGCTTAGAAAGTCAAAGTTACGGTTCCTTGGAATACTCAAATTCGACAAAACGTTATCCCAACCATATCAAAACAGTTGTATGATTCCGGTTTTATCTTTCCACTCCATCAATGTTACTGTGCTTTAGAATGGAGTTCTTTACCCAAAATCTCCCTAGTCAGACTGCCAATCAAAGGAGCACCTATAATTAACTGGATGTTGTCCCATCTTTATCTAAAACCGAAATTTTCTAGTAGATCAATCTTATCTTGATTTACTTCAAAATTCCCATGAATGATAGCCAAAAACATTTGCTAATAGAGGAGTTGAATGTACTTTACTGACTGTAATCCTTTTATTGGATGGCATCCTTTTCCGGATGTTTTCTTGGTAAGGTTTCACCTAATATGCCAGAAGGCACCACTATTATTTATGCTCTACAGAAACCAAAAAAAAGTACATCTAGATCTAGTACATCAAGTATCTTTAAGGTTATTTCCAAAAATATCTCCTCCAGTTGCATCTTCTGAAAGACCTTCCTTTAAATTCTTTCCTAGTGAAACTAAAGAAGCAAAAAAGAATCAATAGGCTACCTTCTAAAGAAACAGACATGTTCAAACCAAACATGCAAATAAGATGGTAGTTGCCAAGAAAATCACATGAGGTGTTTAGTGTTCAAAAAAAATCTAATAAGAGGACATTTCCCTCCCAAGGGAATCAACAATCTAAATGCCATAAAGTAGTTGACAATTAAGGCAATCATCATAGAGACAAAATTAAATACCAATTTAGTAACATAAAATAAACCAAGCATCTCCTAATAATATGTAAAACATACCAAAATCCAAGATATATCTCAAGTCTGTTAAGAAAAATACCTCCTTTACTTGTTTAGATCTGTACAAAATTACAGCAACATTATAGAGAGCAGCGACAAGAAACTTTAGCTCTTGATATTGAACCCAACCATTTGAAATAATGTGATCAATGCAATCAACACTCCTCTGAAATAACAAATAAAATTGTTTAGCCATAAAAGAAACAACACTGCTATTTTTCTTTTAATAGTATCAGCCCAAGGGAATCAAAAGCCAACATATAATGAAATAAAAAAGGAAATTTGTTATTTCAATATCAGGAAATGAGAATAACCTGGACACTTTTCTTCATTCCAAGGGAGACTGTAAGAGCTGCCACTGCTACATGTAGCAATGTTTTGCGAGAATCATTAAACCTGTCTCTCTCCTTCTCTGATGTGCATCTGCATCAAGACATGTCATTAGCAAAATATCTAAAATGTTTTTTTTTTTTTACGTTTATGTACTTGTTCACCCACCACTGCCTATCTTTTAGCATTTTCTGGTAGTACTAATCCCAGATCAAGGAGAGTGCTTATGTCAGGCTCACAATAGTATATATTTTCTCTCAAATCTTCCCACATGGATCAAGATCCATTGTTTCAAGATAGACTTGAACAGTGGAACAAGATCCATGTAGCAGAATGAAATTCAGTTATAATATAGAAATCAAGCTGCATGAATGGCACATATATTGGGAAAGGACGGAAAAGGGTTGGAAGGGGAAAAGTACCCAACTGGCTTACCTGAAACAAATGAAAAACACATTGCAGAATTGATGAAACACATCCTGAATATAACTGTTTTTAGTAGAACAGAAAACAACTTCTGACTCTGCAAGTATATGTTTCTTTGCTGTATTTACTAATTCAGAAAATGGCTGACATAGAAATTCCAAGGCATTTAAGTAGGATAGCAAAGAAGCTACTCCATGCTTATGCTTGCAAGTTTTAGAGATATCAAACATAGAATCCATGGTTAGGCAAGATATGCCCCTTGGGTCCATTTCTCCACCACTATAGGATATACCATTCTCACTACTAGCAGGGAAAAAGTGGCTTTCTAATGAATGAAGCAAAGAATCCAGGTGTTGTAGATTGTCCTCATTTCCAAACAATAACCTAATTGCAAATTCTTCCTTTGAACTTTCAGTGATTGAAGTTCCACCACCCCTTGAATGAACATCATTGCTTGAAATGAACAATCCGGCAGCATAGAGTTTCAGAATCAAATCAACTGGTGTCAAATCCTGCTGAACAATTTATTGGTTATAATTTAGCATAAGGAAAAGACATTAGCAGAAAGATTATCACATTTTACAAACTGTATGTGTGCATCCATGTGTGTATGTGTAAAGAGGCAAAGGCTTGCTAAACAAATCATTTTGCAAAAAGATCCATGGATCTTGCATGTAGTATCAGTGTCAAGGATGAGGGCCAAGAAGGACTCCATTTATTCCCTTTCTCCAAATTCTATTCATGAGCAAGTTTCAGAGCAGAAGTCCCAACCATGTAAACAAACAAAAGGTCCTTGTCCCAGAAATTTTTTTAATTAACAAAGAAGCTTTTAACAGCTAAAATCACTCGAGGAAACCTGCAGCAAATTTTGGGTTATAGAAACATCAACGGAAAGGGACCAGACAAAAAACACAAGGCTAATACAGAGAATACCTTAGTAAATTGATTATCTAAATAGGCTATATCCTTCTCCACACTAATATAGGTCAGCTGGCAGGGAAGAAGACTTCCCTACTTCTGACATTTGGAGAGATAATGCAGTCAATTCAAATCCTATGTCTGATAAAGGAATCTTGGGACTGGCCATGCTTTCACTTGCAAAGCCCATGTCACCCAGATCAGCCCTGTACACCACCTTTTAGAGCTTCCCCAGCTGATATTAACTGTTCTTTCTTTCATTTTTTTTAATTCAAAAGCCTCCAAAAGAAAAAGGGTTTAGTTATTAGCAATGCGTTCACTTCCCAGTCTACATCATCCCTATGCACCAATTTTTCAAGCTTCCCCCAAGCAATGTTATGGAAATAATAGTTGTATTATAATTTATAAACTGTAGAGAAAGCTGAATGAAATTGTGAATCTTATCATAAATCCTCGATTGTTTCTGTTGTTTGAAATTTATTGAAAAATTAAAGTATATATAATCAAGCATAAGATGATACAATATGTGCTTTATGCATATCTACCATACATGTATTTTATACAACAGAGTTTACTACTTGTACACTGGCTCTTTAATTAGCTTATGATGATATAATCAAGTTTACTTGAAAGTCAATCAATCCACATATAATGGCTCTTTAATTAGCTTATGATGGAAAATGAACTCAATAAGGTTTCCAAATAGGTATTAAATAATATAAATAAATCCTTCTAGTAAGGACTTTAAAACTAAAGACCCTTAAAAATAAAACCAAAAAAAAAAAAGATAGCAAGTAAAGAACTAGGTCCCAATTGAATTTATTCAAATTGCTGAAACAAATCTTAAGATTTGCAAATTGAATTGTAAAATTCAAATAGAAATTGTGATATTTTTTAACTAAAAGATTTAAACATAACATTTATACAATCAAATTGTGAATCATGTTTTAGCCATCTAAGCTTTAAAATTTTTAATTCAAAAACTGCCAAGAGAAAAGGGCATAGTTTGGATAACTGGCAATGGCTTTTGGGCAGCAATTTGCCCCATGAACAGAGGATGAAGGGAACAAGTGGAGGTTCAACCTATATGGATGATTCCTTTGTCAGAAATGATTCTAGCAGCCAATCTGTACCCACAGACGCACACACACAGGATTACTTGGTATTCAGGTGGATAATCATATACATGATGGAGTTCACTTGCAACTTCATTAAAAAGTGTTGCAACTTTGTCTGTATTGATATTTGCAGTTCTACATTTGTTGGCACAATAACATGCTAGATCAAGAAACTCATTTACACTGCACACCATAGCCACCTGCCATGAAACAAATAAATGTCATACTCCATTGCACACATTAATGAAATAAAAAGTAAGCATAATTGCTTTTCAAGTTATAGTATTGAAATAAAAGACTTTCCATCCAGATAACACTAGATTTAGCCTTTGGTATTTAAGTACAAGTGTTACCTAGATGACTGAAACCATGTTTATCCAGGGTTCGAAATATTGGTATGATACACCCCATTCCAGGAATATCATATAGTATCTTTTTGTCATTGATACATTAATAAAAGGCTTTTATAGATTTTGTTGTTTTTAAGTTATAATAGACGATGTAACAGGTCCCCCTGTCAGTTCGTCAAGCAAAAAATAAAAAGTATATAGTTTTGACTCACCCAATAGGCATGTACATGTGTATCGGGGGTATCGATATTTCGAACGTTGTGTATATCATAATCATGTTTATTGTTGCATGTCTAACAGGTAGGAAGCAACTCAGAGATGACGTGGAAATAAAACATGGTAAAGAATTTCATAATCATGTTATTTCTTGCATGGTCGATAGATAGGAAACAACTTAGAAATGATATAGAAATAAAAGTATAAAATGTACCAAAGAATTTCAATTTCCCCACACCATTATATCAGTGCCTTCCTCATTTTACAAGACATGTCATCACAATGTCTTCCAGTAAAAAATACTTAGGAAATAGGAACTACAAACAATGGATTGAGGAGTGTAAGTGATGAAATCAAATAGTCAGCCATTATACTTTGATTCAAGCAATAGGATTAACTTGGTTGAGTCATATTTTTTTGATAGATAATGATAACGAAAATTTTATTAAATAAAGAACCAAGTATTCATCATACAATTCCCCACAAAGAGGCGCAAGGTGCAACCTCCAAACTAAGTAATATAACTTAGTTGAGTAGAAAAGCATATTACGTATTCTTGGTTTTTTGTCTAAGGTGGTTTGGATTTGTAAACAAAATGATTTTTAGCTATGTTTTTGAGCAAAAGGTAAAGCTTTGTATTGCTTTAACTAATATAAAGATGTACAAGTAAATGCATGTACAGTGAGCCACTGTACATAAGCTCTCCTGCCAACTTTTACAAAAACAAAATAGCAGGATCATAATAGTTTTAATGGGGAATGCCTCTTAAAAGATCTGTTGCAGCCAACAAAGAGTAAGTGACACCAACTCACCAAGTATCACTTAAAAGATTTCATCAACTGAATAGCTTTTTTTATCGATAACAGCATTTTATTAATTACGAATGAAAGTACAAGATATTAAATACAGAGAGACTGTGAGACATAAAACCTCTTATATGTCCCCCAAATAACCAGATCCCTTAACAATTGCACCCAGAACAATGAGTCTCTCCCCACCCCTTGTTTGGCTAACGCATCTGCTACATCAACTGAACAGCTTTTTGCCTCAAATATTCTCGGATTCATCTCCTTCCAAATACACCAGGTAACTGCTGCAGGTATGGTACCCCATAATTTACTCCCTTATTTGCTTAGGCCCTTCACTATCCAGGAACTCAAATGTCCTGTGGCTGCTACCCTCTCCAGAAGGCACCAGCTGTCAGATGAGGTTGATCAAGCTGCAAAAGTGAGAGTATATTCCTCTAACCACCGGATATTGCAGTAACAGATGGTTTGTGGTTTCTCTGTCAGATAAACACAGCATACAGGTTTCAGATTGTATGTTTATGCCCCTTCTGAGTGCTGATCAACTGCTTGTAACATGATTTAACAGAGAAAAATCCAGATTTTTCCCACCTCCAGCACCTTGCATCCTCCTGATCTGGATTTGGACGTGTTAAGTTAAGTAGGCTGAGTTTAGATTCCGTCTTAGAGATGGGTGCCAGGTCAATCCACCTTTGGTTTCATAAGCATCAACCACTCTAGAATCTCTATTTTCGGCTAGAACAAATAGGGAAGGGAATCTCTCCACCAAAGCTCCATCATCACACCATATATCTCTCCAAAAATAGACTCTGTCCCCAATACCCACCTCCAAACAGTATGTGGAAGAAATTTATTGTGAAATTCAGATAGAACAGCCATAGGGACCTTCATTGATACCTGGATCCTAATTAAAGTTTCTAGCCCTAAAGTTCTCCAAAACAATCTGTCTCCAGAGGAGGTTTGGATGAGTACAGAATATCCAAAACCATTTTAGAATAAGTGCAATATCCATCCCCTTCACTTTCTAAATCCCTAAGCCCCCCACTGTTTGAGGCAAGCAAACTAGATCCCACTATACAAGCTGTATTTTGTCTCTATCCTGCCGTCCTCTCCAAAAGGAAATCCCCGTGAATTTTCTCAAATTTGTCTGCAACTGCTGCTGGTATTGGGAATAATAATAAGAAGTGGGTAGTTGGGAAAGGGTACTCTTTGGTAGAGTTTTCTTTGCCCTAACTGATAAGTATTTGCACTTCCAAATTGCCAGCTTCCTACTCATTCTTTCTATCACCGGGTCCCAAATGCCTTTTGCTACACATCTGGCACCCAGAAATAAACCCAAATATGTGGTGGGAAGATTTCAGAATTTACATCCAAGAATGCCAGCAAGTTCTTCAATGTTTTTCCACCTTGCCTACGGGAATGATTTCACTTTTGCTCAGATTCACCCTCAAACCAGACACTACTTCAAACCATTTTGCCTGTCATCAGCGTATTGTAATAAGATCACCATTTTGCCTTGTTCGTTTACCTCAATGCCTTGTAGAGCCCCACTCTCCACTGCTCTTTGTCATGAGGGACAGTTCTTCCATTGCACAAACGAACGACAATGATGACAGAGGGTCTCTTGTTTGAGCCCTCTAGAGCTATTAAATAATCCAGTTAATTCCCCCTTTAGACTGCATTTGTCATTCCTTATTTTAAGGACTTATCTCCTTTTTGCAGTTAAAAACTCGGTATTCATAGGGACATTTTAACTGCAAAAAGGAGATAAGTCATTAAAATAAGGAATGCCAAATGCAGCCTTAATGGGATTGAAAATTTTGGAGTTGATACACATAAAAAAAGACCATTGCCCAATGTTGGTCCCAAAGTTGATATAATCCTAACCTTTGGAATTTTTTGAACAAAGTGGACACTCTCAGAGTTGATACTCTGAGGGTTTACCATTACACCAAGTAATGGCCCCTAAAGTTGATACTCATACTCTCATCCAATTTCTCCATTTTCTGCCAAAGTGCATACCACCAAGTATGTAATCTAGGAAATCCATGTTCAAATGATCATACACCTTCTCTAGATCTACTTTACAAAACAGCCCTTCTTTAGCCATATCTAGGTTTTGTCCTCTTCTAGACATTTGATTGCAATAAATTAAATTCTAAGTAGGTGACAATAAGGTGAATATGTATGTTGTCATCCCTAAGTAACCATGGCATTCTTTAAAGAGATTACAAGAAAATGTAAAGTAGGCAATGAGCTAATGATATGATTTAAATAGGTAAGCTGCAAAGAACCTCAGTCAACATTGCAGAATGCTGGATGGATAAGACAGCTCACAAAACTGCAGCAAGCAGCAGATACAAGAGGGTGGTGAATGAATGAGGATAAGGGAAGAAACTGAAATGGAGGTTGGTTATTCGCAAACTTGGCCATGAAGGAAATCAGGCTGCTTGTTGGCTAGAAAATACAGGCCATAGTAGGAATATATCAAATAGTGTTGCAAATGACTTGGACCTAAATCATATTATTTTGTGGACTCATGGGCTCAATGCTCTCCCCCTGAGCTTTGGGCATTGGGCGAGTGGTATTGGAGGTATGGAAACACTCAGGGAGGATTCTGGATAAGAGTGGTTGCAGCTAAGTACAGTGTCAGCATTTCAGGCTGGGAGCCAGGAAGCCTAAATCAAAATTATGGATGCTCCTTATGGAGAGGCTTTGAGAAAGCCCGTTACCCTTTTCTTAAAAGGAGTAAGATTTAAAACCGGTGATGGCCTCAGGGTAAAATTCTGGGAAGACATGCGGTGTGAAGACAGACTGCTGAAGGAGTGTTTTCCTGCTCTTTTTGAGGTGGCAGTAAACAAAGAATCAAGTGTGGCAGAAAATGTGCAGGTGCAAAAGGGCAGTGTGGTGTGGGTTCCTCAGTTCAGGAGACTTTTAAATGATTGGGAAGTAGAGGTTATGGTGGAGTTGCTCAAAGATTATATGATATTCAGAGAATAGTGGGCAAAATGATGTCTTGGCTCTCTCTGTAAACAAATTGTTCAAGGATAGAAATTACAACACTTTTTGCACATGAGAATATCTTTTTGTAAAGCAGGGCTGGGGAGTATAGGATTGCTTGGACAGTGTTTTGTAAATCCATGTGTACAGCATCTTCTTGTATATGGTTTTGTTCTCTTTTCTTCCTTTTAATGTCATTATACTTTACCTGTTTTCAATAAAAAAGGAATACCGTGGGTGAAATTAAAGCAGCAAAAGGAATGAAAGCATTACATACTCTTGGGTGCATAGATCAGCAAATTGGTTTGCTAATACCTTTGGCTAAAGAGGCTGTAAACAGAAACCAAATATTCTGTCGGGAGTTGTAAATATGTAAAACTTGGGACAGATCCATAAGATCCAATAAGTAAAATGTTATGGTGATGTTGTCACCATTGGGCTGCTAGGCAGTTGTAAATTTTTTCTTATAAAAAAATGTTATATTCTTATTTCCTACTTAAAAAATTGGTTTTATAATTTATTTTTAGTTTCTTATCTTTTTAAAAATACCTTATGTTAAAAAAAAATAGTGAACGATTTTAGCAAAAAAAAAGGGGGTTTAGAAGAATGAAATAAATGTGCAAATACCTTGCATTCACAAGAAATAGAAATCAGGGCACATCTTAATATGTCAATGATGACTGGAACTCCACTCTCCGGATGTAAGAATAGAGATGAACAAATCCTGCGGGCAAACTGCATATTGGACGTTTCAATTTTATAGGCTTTGTAGAATGACGCAGTAGAGAAAGAAATAATTAAAATAAAAGAAAATTCTAGTTAAGTGGATGAGGGTTGAGTGAACACAAACCTTTACAAATTGATCCTTCATAGATGATTTCAAGAACTCGGTCAATGTTATCATACAGAAAGAATTTAACAAGTCCCCATCAAAACATGTAGATTCCCCTACCATGAAGAGCAGGCACTTGTTGAGATTGGTCACAAGCAAGCCGTGTAACCTTTCAAATACCTTAGCATCAAGAACCCTACAATTTTCGTATGGAAACATTTCAATAAGTTACATCACCACAGATTTAACAATGTTAGAAACAAACTCAACTGTGTAGGGTACAAACAAAAGTAAGGACTTGACAAAGACCAAATTCACACCTGAACCATGGCCCGAGCTGATCCAACAAACTGAGAACACTTCGATAAGCTCCGCCGTCTTTGCTCTTACTCATGAAAGTACACTTAACAAGAGTTGCAACTACCTCCACAAGCAACAAAGCAAGGTCAGGATCAGCATTTTCCTTCGTCATATCCGGCAAAAGCCCATCTTCGTTCTTCTTACCCTTCGCTGGTTTAGAACCAGAAGGGGCCAAACTAATTGATCGGAGGCTCTCAAGAATGACACGCACTTCACATTCAGCTTCTCCAAACCGCCCCCAAGCCTCAAAGCAGTGCACCAATCGAATCCTCTGGCAATGCATAGAGTAGGGTTTACACGACAATTGTGAAGAGAGGCACGACAAGCAATCCAGACAGAGCTTGTAAGTATCGAACAGTTCTTGGGCCCTTTCATCCTCTTCGCCGCAGCCCGGTTTCGGTGACTCCGAGAGGCGTTTCGGTAAGAGAGAAAGTGAGCGATTGAGGAAGGGGAGAAACTTCTTTGCGAGAGGACGGATTTGAGTCCAATCAGGCTCCGTCTTCTTCTTGCTCTTCTGGGTCTTCTTCGGCTTCTTCGAATCTGCATCTTCGTTAAGAACAATGAAGTCTGCAAAGGGTTTTAAGTAATCTGAGAACCGCCGATGAATGCCTCTGTAATCCGAGTTCTCTAACGCTGCGATTAGAGAAGACTCGGTGGAGGAATCCATGGTGCCCAGTGCGAGATGCAGAACTGAGGAATGTGGAGAGGGAAATGAGAAAAGAACACAAGGGCGCGAATGTCACCCGCCATGTGATTTAAAGCAGCACGGTTTTGGAATGATTGTGTGTCTGCCTTCGTCAACGTCTCAAAACCTCAACGGCTCGACCGGATGTCGAACGTATCGGAGCGGATCGGACAAATCGACCCGAACCGTGTGGCAGGCAATGGCTGAACCTCGACCAGAAATGTTTTCAATCCACCGTTAATCCGGAAGATCGAACTGCTCAACTGTCTTTCGATCATGTTTACAGATTGGTTTTGCGAATTAAAACCCAAGGTTTTGACTAAAATCCATTGATTTGGACAAAACAATCTAACTCGAGTGGTTGGACCATTGATGATCGATCTAACCACTGGGTCACGATTCATGAGTTTAAAACTTATGAAGGCCATGACTTTGTTGTTTGTGCTCACTCGTCCAATTGGGATGATCTTTATATAGATTTGGGGTAATTTTTTGAGATCTCTGTGTCGTGTTAAAAGGGCATCTTGCCATGCTATTTGTGTCAAAAGAATACACATTTGGCCTCAAATTCCATATTTTAAATTTTTTATAAATATAAGTTATAATAATAAATTAAGTATAAAATAATACATATATACATGTATTATATATAGAATATAATTATATATTATTTTATTGTTAAAACACATGTCATGGCCCAATGGTTGAATGCATGATTATTGGATTGGGTTGGATTGAGCCAATATCCGGTCCATTAATAGAAGATAACAATACAAGTATCAATCGATCAGGTTTGATTTTAAATTAATCTAAACTAAAACAAATTTGAACAGATTAGACGGTCCAAACATTGAATTGGACCAGTCCAAAATGGTCTAAAACATTCATTGAATTAGATTAGGCCTGGTCCATTTATAATAGACTCACATTGGATTGGATTGGACCTAATCCAATCCAACTGACACCCCTCCATTCAAATTTTAACAAATCCAACCCAAGCTGCACCCCTAATTGTCATATGTTTTATTAACCAGCACTCGTATGATCAGATTAGAATGTCATATAAATCAAGCTGATTTGAGAACCTGATCTTCAGCCTGACCACTGAAATACAAGCTTTCTAAAAACATTCTTCCTTCGGTGATTTATATAGGGCATGAAAGAGGTTAGATCTGGAACAAATCCTGCCAAATTCGATCCGTATCCGGATGTGAGCCTGATTACAGGTCATATCCCAAAGGAAATATTTGGACAATGGTATCCATGCCCAAATATGGCCTGCATGGGCGGGGCTAGGTTCAAATGAAAAACTTGTGTCAAGGTCAAGAAACTCGAATCCAGATGGGCTGGGCAATATAAGCCCAATTAGATATGATGAACCCTATTTGGAATCCAAACATTTATGAGGAACCAAACCAGCTAAATACTGGGTCAGAGTCTGGATCTCTTGCCTACATCTACCCATATAATATTACAGTCATACATAGGGAACATTTCATTATCTTACATAGTATTATGCATGAGAGATGTTCTCAATTCACGGGGGTAATGTGCTGTGAATAGATGTGGGCAAAGTTCTTGTATGCAGGAGATCTGGAATTCAGATTTTGGGTCTCCTGATCTGTTTCATGTCTTAGTGACTTTGTTTATCATCTTTTTTGCAGTTTGTTTATTAATTTTTCTAATTTTTCTGCATGTAAAGCCCATTTTTAAAGCAAAAGTCATTATGTCTCTGAACTTGGCCGACCCCAAGTTGTGAGTCTCCCAAACATCTATAATGCTTCATCATGTATATGTTTACATGTATTTTGCCTCTAAACCATTACCAGAAAAGGCAGCAATGGTATTTGCTGAACAGAATAATATAAATCTAATCAGCCAGCGTCATACCAACACTTGTTTGGCCGCTTATCATGCTATCGATGTTGCCCAGCTTTGACTCTTTCTCTGTTCTTTATCCGTTAGTGTAAAACATCGGCTGTTTTTTCTCTCAATTAGTTATTGTAAAGGCTATTTATTAGCCAAAGTTGTTGATCAATAAAGTTGAATCATTCCAGTTTGTTTTTAAGCTTG